TCATCTGAACTCATAAATTGTTTTTTATACTATTTTTTATATTTTGATTTTTTTTTCTCATTTTAAATCTTTTGAAAGAATAGTATTGGTAAATATTCGTGTATATATTTTAAAAGAAATTGCATTTTGGATGCATTTTGTTTGCTCAATAAGTAAACAATTTATTAGGTACACAAACCATGTTCTTTAAAAGAGGAAATATTTATATTATGCTCAAGCCTACTCTTGAATATTTTACACGTGTTAGAAGTATAAGAAGTATTATGAATTTGCGTATAATGTGAATTTATACATTATAGAAATAGTTGTATAAGAACTTAATTATATTTAAGTGCCATATGACATTCATAAATTTTTATCATTCAAACGCATGGGCAATTCATATTTTTGGTCACTTTTTACCTTTATTGTGGTTATCGTAACGTTTACTTGTAATCTAAATTATAAGTTTGCAAGACAATATAAGTTCTGACAAATGTTGGATTTGTTAATATTACCCAAGTAATGACATAAAAGTACGCATCAAGCTCTACCAGATTAAATTTAGGAAAAAAAAAAGGATAAACACTATATGTTTGAAACCCTCTAATGGACATTGTTATACGAGTATTCTATAGAAGCATGAAAGATGGCTTTCATTTAATTTGCCCTTAGATTGACCTTGATAACTGCATTGGCTTTAAAAACTTTGTCTTTCAAGGTATTTATGGTATTTCAAAAACATTTTTGACAAAAATCGTAGAACAAAAATTTGTTGTCGAATCATACGCTACGACGTCATTGACGGTATAACGGCCATTAGTTGGAACCACCATCAATTTATTGTTTTCAATTTGGAGAGTAATCAAAGTTACTGAACTGAAATACCGAATTATATGATGGCCCCTAAATAAACTGAAAAAACAAAAAATTCTTATACATACAAGTACTTACAAAAAATATTTTAAGGCTCCAGGGTACAACGAGGTGTTAAAAAACTCCATTTTTTTTGTTCTAGTTTTTTTTTATTCAAAACATAGGCTATGTAAATTTTCAATTTATCATTTTTAATTTTATATATTTTTATTATCATTATTACTGTTATTATTATTATTGCTGTTATGATAATTTTTTACTCCACAGTAAACAAGTTGTAATGCTTAGGAGTAAAATATCCGTACACATTTTATTATTACATATGTAATTACAAAAAAATAAAATATAAAAAAAAAGAAGCATTCATACATTATGTATTTTGCATAATTTCTAGTAAATGAACAAAAATATTGCTGTGTAATAGTAGATTAGAGTAAAAGTGTAATGCATTACAATTTTTATAATGAAGCTAGATAATCAGTGCGGGTTAACAGAAAAATTTTGATAAATCGAGAAAATGTAAAAAAGTTAAAGTTTTCAGGGTTTTAATGTAAAAAATTTCTAACACAAATAAGGTGATTCTATCCACACGTAGATCAAATTTAAATCGAATGTACAGATGACTTTTATAAGAATTCAAATTTAGATTAATTTTTCGAAACAACTTTAAACAGCTATTAATTAACTTCAAAATTAAGATGTTTTAACTAAATTCTGTCAAAATGCAGATTAAACTGTAGAAGAAGAGAATTTGATATAAGATTTACGATTGAAAATATATGTCTTATAAAATTTTTTCAATTGTAACCAGAGAAACATCGGTACATAACATGTTTATCCTATAATAAGAAGGCAGTCTATGTTTTATAGAATTGAGATTAAGAATTGTATAATAATGAAAAAATTTGAAATGTTATATGAAAAAAAAATACAGTCACATAAAATATTAAAATAAAAGGAATCATCAATTTAAGTACTATTTTCTCTGTTACTACATAATTTTTTTGTACCCAATAGTATGGTACTTATTTTTCGCTAGTGTAAACGTATGGTTAGAAAAATATTATGTTCTTTGTGTATATTTTTTTTTCTTACTTAATTTATTCGCAATTATGCATTAAATATTCGTTTTGTGACAGTAAAACAGAAGATCTATATGTGTTTGTATGTTTATGTAATGCGTATTGTTTTTTGTTATTATAAGTATGTATGTATAGTAAGGGTATAAAGTGAGTATATTGAACGTATATTGTAAGATTTTATTTGTTTTGTTTTAATTTTCATTTCATGTTTCTGTGTATAGAATTTTTGACGTGCTCTAAAGTGCAAGCCAAGTGGTAATTATTCATGTTTTTGTCTGTAAACACCCACGTTATCTTTATTTTGTTTTCAGCATTTTAAAACTATTATTCTTGAAAAATGAAAACGTTTTTCTCGTTACTACTTTTTGTTTCGTTTTTTTTTTAACACAGGTAATAACAATATTGTAATAATAATGAGCAGGTGGCTTTAAATTATTATTATTATTTTTTTGGTGTGTGTGTGTGTTTTTGTTCTCGTTTACGTTAATTTGAATGAACTGAATTATAAAGAGGTGGTAATAAAATTAATTTTAATTCATTTTACGTTTAAAAAAAAATTGTTTTTTTTTTCGTCTTATTGTGATTTTTGTTTTTTTTTTTAATAATTTTTTATCAATTATTTTCAATTAAACTATTTAGGTTAGTTACAGTTTTATGATTAAGTAATTTAAGTTAAAAATGTGTTATACATGTGTTTGTACACATTGTAAATTTAAATGTATGAATTTACATTTTTGTATATGATTGAAATGAAGACAGACAAAATAATATTGTTAAAAAGGTTTTCGTTTAATTTAATTGAATGAATAATAAATTTAAATTGATTGCATTCAAAGTAATTATAAATTAATTATGTAATCGTTGGCTGCAGTTGGTGATATAAAATTGTGTTATACTCAATTTGGTATATCAACTTATATTGACGAAATTCGAAGACGATTTTGATGAAAAGTGGATAATTTATTCGGTTAATTTGAATGTGCAAAACCAAGTCCATTTTCTATTCCATAGTGAAGTACCCATATTGCAAAGTTTTCTTTTAAAGTAATTAAATCCAGTTAATTGATAATGAGTCGCACATATAATTTTCATTTGATTCACTTGCAACACATTGCAATTCTAACTAAGATTCGCAGATGCCATTCTAAGTAATAAAATCTCTATAATTTACTCAAGCTTTGTTCTCTTGCTCTTTAAATTGCTATTATTTCTAATAAATTTGAAATGAAAAAGCTGAATCAGTATAATTTTTAATTTATTCCATAAATTTTTCTATAAGTACATACATATATATACATTTGCCTCTTCTTAATTAAATTTTATTGATATTTAATTAAAAGGAAATTATGAGTGCTAGTAAATTAGGCCATAATTTAATTATTATTCTTTATGCTCGCAGCTCTTTTGTAAATCAAAAGTTCATTTTCATATAAATCATAATCTTGTTATAAATTTTTTTAAAAGCGTTCGGTTTCTCAATTATTATAAATTGTTACTTAATATTGTTGGAAAAAAATTATCAATTTCAATAAGTCAATTTGTCAACATGCTTGCATCTTAGAACGTTTATACTTGCATTATGTTAGCTCAACATATAATGTAGATGTTTACTTATTACTTAGATTTAAGCTAATGTTTTCTAAATCATTTTGTATTTGTACATTATTTGTCATAGGAAATATCAAAAAAAAAATAGGACAATTATTTTCAACCTATAATTAAATCAATAAGACAATTTTGATTATAATCTTCTCACACTTATTATCTTTGTCCCATAAATTACTTATATAAGTTCTTAAGGTTGTGTTATAATAATTGCATTTCTAATATAATTAAGTAAATTTAGATTATTGATGTCATTAACTTATCTGATGGGCATTGACATATAGCTACATAAAATTATTTATCAATTTAAATTAAGTTCAAATCTATAAAAGAAAATTCCCATCGTAAGTGAAAAATTTACTATAATATGTTATATAAGTGTGGTGTAAGATAATATATGTATATCAATTGCAAGTTATCTTTCGTAAATTATGTGTAATTTTGATAATTTAATTAGGTTAAAAGTTAACTAGTATGCCCATACGAAATATGCTAATAAGGTATAGAATTAATTTACATTTCGTTTGTAACGAATAAAGAAGATAGCGCTCCTATATAATTATAGGTCTTATATAGGTATTTAAATATCTTATATATATAATTACAGATGTATATGTATAACACTTTTAAATTATATTTGATTTTGAGTCGATTTTATATAGTCATTTATTATGAACTTTGTCAGTATATGGTCTGTTCGTCCGTCCTAGTGATAATTCAAAAGCTAATTAGTTGGTTCAAATTCACCTAGAAAATAATAGAGTACTGTTTAATTTGGAAGGGATCAAGAAAAATAAAGATTTAAGGAATTATTATATGAAAGTTTTGGGAATCGTTCGGTATACAATATTGATCAATAATTAGTTTTCAGTACATTTTTAAGCTTTATTTAGAAATTTTGCTATTATACATAGTTATGGATTTAAATTTCTAGAATATTCTATGTGAATAATGAAAAAATTAATAATTATAGATATCAATTGTTTATATTCCCTTGTTTTTGTTTAAATAATGAACGCAGATATTTTAGCTAAAGCTTTTGCAGATATCCGTAATAATAACTTAAGTATTCGAAAATCAGCTGCCAAATAAGGATTACGGCCAAAAACACTACTCAATCGATTAATGGGTAAGAGGTCAATTAGAAAACAATCAACCAAAATTTGTCCAAATCCATATTTAACACCTGACGTAATCTGTTTCGTTAAATTACAATATAATAAAAGTTAACCATCCTAGTGTCATTTTTCAGTAAATCAAGAATTTAATTGCTGATTAGGAATGACCAGAATTTTTTTTTGGTGATCCAAGAAAACAATTCAAGCGAACGCTTGTTTAAAAATATTTATACAGATTTTTTAAATGTATATAAATTTGATATACTTACAATAAAAAATATTTTAAGTACAGAATAGTTAATATAAAAAAACTGAAATTAAATAAAATATTAATACTTACCCCAACTTGATATAATATACGATGTGGCATTAATAATTCATCATTTAATAATTTTTCTTTAATTAACATTTGTCGACTAGATCTTTTATTATGATGTTCTACTTTAACTTTATTTGATATTAAATTATTATAAATTGTTTTTAATAAATTAATATTAATATAAGTTTTATTATAATTTTTATTTTCATATAAATTATTATTACTACTATAATTACTATTATTATTATTATTGTTATTATCATTAATATTATTATTTATTTTTGTATTATTATTATTATCATTAAAAAGTTGATGTTGTGTTTGTTGTACAACAGCTGCAGCTGATGATATTTCAAATACTTCAAGTGGTAATAAATTTGTACCAAATGAATTATTAATAAAATAAATTAATATTGAAAATATTATTATATTTAATTTATACATTTTTAAATATTTTATATTATTGTTATTATTAAAATAAAATTAATTAAATTTTTTTTTTTAAAGTTTATAATAATATAATATGATAAAATTTGTGTTATACAATTATTTGTATTTTTTTCGCCACTATTTTATTTGGTTTTATTTTAATTAATTCAATTAAATAATTAAAATATAAAATTAATTTATATATTATGTGAATAAACGTATATAAAAATGTATGTACACATTAAAATGTAGCTATAAATTTTATGTTGTATTTTACTGTTATTATATTATATAGTATAACAGAATTTTATTAAAACTTTATGACACTTATATATTATATTTTTCCCCCTCTCTTTTTGTTTTTCAAATTATAGTTATATTAAATAAAAAATCATATGAATGTTAAACTATTATATGTAATATATATAGTGTAATATGTAATACAATATTATTAATGTTATACACTGACTTATTTTAAAGCTAACAACTTTATATTAAAAGAAAAATTTAATTATAAATTTAAACCTTGATTTACTGTTTAAGATTTTGCTCAACACACATGTTCTTGATATTTATATGTACATACACACAATAATACGTATATTATTTATTTGTTAAGTATGAGATATATGAATATTTTTTTTTTCATTTACTTTGTGAACTCGTTAAATTACTACAGCTGTTCAGTTACTGAACTTTTCTTTGATAGATTTTGAAAAAATTTTGTGTTTGTATTCAACAGGTATATATAACTGTCATACAGGTTATGGATGTGTATATATAGTAGTGTAGGTTTAATATAAGTATTATTATATTACCTGTATATATTTTTTCCCTATAAATTAACTTTATTATTAGGTTGACACGTCAAAAATGAGCAAAAAAATTGAATTTTTTGTTTTTGGTTTTTTTTTTATTATAAATAATTGGCTTCACTGTATATTGCTTTAATTTTTATTATTTTTGTTTTAATATTATTTTTTATTGTTATATTTTATTATACATATTATATACCCTCGGACAGGTATATATAAAAGTATTTGTATAAAACAAAAATTATGCGTTCTCTTGCATGTGTACACTCTTTGTACTTAATGTGGCAATACCGTAATGTGAAAATCTTATTTTTGGGCGCGCTTTTTTATCTACAATGTTTATAATTTTTATGTTTTTTTTTAATGCTGTTGTTTCTTTGTTGTTTTGTTTTTTTTTTGTACTCGTTGAATTAGTTGTGATTTGTTGTTTTCTTGTTTTATACACATAAGTGGTGAACTTGTACGAATTCAGTAGGTAATATACTTATATTTTTATTCTTTGTTTAAGATGTTAGTGAGGTGCAAGTAAAATGTGTTTTAATATTTTTTTTTCTTGTTAATTATTAATTTTATTTTTTTTATGTTAAATTTTTTTTATTTGTAATTTAATATTTTAGTAGTCTTTGTTTTAAATTTTTTCTTTTAATTTGATTTTCTTTGTTTAACAGTTTTTTTTTCTAAAGGATATCTACCGGTCTTTAATTTAATATTAAAGAATTTTCTATACTTCTTGTATAGAAATTTAAGTTCTATATGAATAAACAAGGAACATGAAATTTAATAATTTATAAAATATTTATTTAAGTTGTTACATTTATATAAAAAAATTATAAGGCGGTATGTGATATTCCTAATATTATAAAATGTACTACTTTAAGTTTTAGTATATAGTAGAGTTCGTATATAACGGTTTGCCATATGCAGATTCTATTGTATTACATTTATTGTTGTTGAAAGAAGTTGTAAGTTTTAATTGTTAAATATGCAAGGAAGACAAAATTAGAGTTCCGATACAAATTTTAATTTAGTGTTTTAAGTCACTTGAGTACGGAAAATGAATCAAAATTTGGTGTTTATTGATTATAAATACTTAATTAGAGAAATTTGTTTTAGTAATTTTTACGATAACAATCAACTAATACCATATTTCTTTGATTTAAAAAAAAACTTTAACTCCATAAAACGATTACATTTATACTTATTTATAGGTATGTATGGTTCGAATGTTAAAAATTTCTAACAATTCAAAATTTTTTTGGTCGAATTATACAGAAAATTGATAATTTGCAGTTTATAACAAAATAATATCAAAAGACTTAACATTTGAACGTTTTGTTATCTATACTTCCAATGAAAAGAAACCCTGTAAGATGAAAAACCTAATAACGCATGTAATACTGAAAGAAATCAGCACATTCACGGTTTTCTTTTACCTAATCAATATGGTTTTTGTCTAAGATGAAATAAAAAAATTTTCATATTTAACTAGAAAATGACATTTCTTGAGTTGCAAGAGTTTTAGTGAAAACGGATCTATTCTAATATTTGTTTATAAATTAATAAATGTTATTATTTAAGCAAATACGCCTGTAAAGAGCCGCAATATCTCAACAAGAAATTACGAAAAAACTCGAAAATTTACACAAACTAGAATCAAAGAATATCTATTAATTTGTTTTCATCTAAGTACTTATAAGATAATAAAAACTTTATAATTATTTAACATGTTCATAATTATCTATATAAATTAACATGTTAATATTATAATTATAAGAATATTTATTTACTATTTGATTATTTAATTTCCAATTAACTAAAAAATAAAAAAAAAAGAATCAATCGAAAATAATTTCTATTAAATTTGTCATTACAAAAAAAAAATAAAATGATAGTCGTCTCTCTACTAAACTAACATTCAATATAGAATTATAGTCTTTTCAAAGTCAATTAAAACTATAAAAATTAAATATTGTACTTAGTTAAACATTTAGTTAGTTAGTTAGTTAGTTAGACATGGCATGAAGATATGCACATATAGATAACTAATTAATAATAATGTATATATAATGTGCTTATGCAATTATTTTGAAATGCTTGTTAACTTTTTATTAACATGTTATGTTATTTATGATTTTTTCTTACTTTAGCTTTTTCAAACATACTTTTACGAAAGAACAATTGTACCCACATATCCACGTATACCTATATAACTATATACTGGCAATAAAATTGTATATAAGTTTAACTACTTTTATAACCACCTATTCATATTTTTTTTCAATATTGTATATAAGTAATTGTGTAAAAATAACTATTAAAAGTCATTAAGAATACAGAAAAAGAATGAAAAATAAAATGAAATAAAATTCTAAATGACACTATAGCGAGGGGGGGGGGGACATTAGTAACAAATATATGTATAATAAATTGTTATATAGGTATCAGCAATTTAACAATGAATATTTTCAATTTAAATATTGAAATGTTATAAATTTTATTTAGCTATATCGTAGATTTTATACAATATTTTTATATTACTTATACATATATAATAATTTTATATATATAGGAGATATTGAAAATCATATTTGATTAATGAATATTGAAGTAGATGCAATAAGTATTGCAATTTTTATTTAATAATTTAAAATTTCATTGGTATATGTGATGTAAAATTTGCTACATAAATAAAAATCATTTTTTTTTTTTAATTGAAAGAATATTGTAGTTTTGAAAACATTTTATTTTTTGATTATTTTCAATGTCAAATTATATGCATATGATGTATAATGTAAAACTATCTCTATATATACATGTATTTTGTGAAGTTGTAGGTATATTTGTTTTACTTTAGGTATAATTATGTTAAGTATATTTTGTAAGTATATATTCATTGTAAAATCTTCTGCATAAATTTACTTTATTTGTCAAAGAGGGAGATGAAGTATACAACATATAAATTCTATATACTGATATTATTTTTATATCAAATCCTTATTTTGTATTTTAAATTCCTATAGTTATATAAATTCAAAATATGTAAATTTCTGATATAACTAATAAAATATCAATTAAAATTTAAATAGTATTGACGAAAAAAAAGTTTATAGTTTCTTTAATATTTCTGTAATAATAACGCAGAATTATTTTTTAAGATGAATTTTTAAAAAAATTTATAAACGAACGAATTTACGATATATTGTTTTTGGTACTTATGTTCATATGATCTATTATTATATCGGATATAATAAGCAATTTTATTCATTAAAATTATTAGTATAACGTACATACATACAATAAAAAATTTTGAGCTTTAAATTATAAATTATTGTATAGTTAGAAATTTATGCAAATTTACGTTCTCATTCTATTTTAAATTTAAAATTATTGCAAAATTACTTAATTATTATATTTTATCGATATCATTATATGTAAAGTAATTTACACTTCGATATTAAGTACTTAAATCTCTTAAAATTTTTAATTGTATCTACCCATATTTCCTCGTTTTGAGTCATTTTGTTTAAAATTGTAATTTTTTCTGTCCAAAAACCGATTTAAGAGAGAGATTACTGTATTTGAAATAATTGCATAAATTTATATTTATATTACTTATATGTATATTATGTAGAGAACTCAACAAATAAATAATTGAAAAATTGTTTACAATACTTAATATACATTATGTATATATATATAAGAAATGCTCTTACATAAACATATATACCTGCATATATCTGTTTAATTCTCAATATTCACTATAATATCATAATTATATCTGAAAAACGTGGAGACAAAAAAATAATAATAATAATAAAAAAAAAACAAAATAAACAAAAAAAAAAAAACTAATAAGATTATCAATGAATATTTTCGATTTTATTTCCGGTTCATTCATGTTCTTATCACTACTCAACATACATACATATACATATCGATATACGTATATAAAATCTTCAATACAGATCTTCAAAACATATAGAAAAATATAAGCGTACACATAATACCAAACTGACATACATACAAAAAAAACAAAAAATAAATCTATATAGGCAGGTAAATATTTATCGTAAATCCCATATTATGCATATCTGTATATGCTATGTATGTATGTATGTTAGTATATTTTTCATTTAAGAAAAAAATTTATGCATTTTTAAATGAAATTTTTGGAGGAAACATTCCAAAATTAATAAAAAAAAAAAACGACGAATTTATGTGTTCATAAAATCAACGGATCTATAACGGTTTTTTTTTTTGGGTGCATAACTAACTAACAGGTTTACAATGGTTTGTAAGTAACAATATTTTGTATCGTATTTTTTTTGTTGTTTATGTCACCATTATTACGCTATCTTTATACCGCAATCAGCCCCAATAATCTTTACAATATTTTTCTGTGTTGTAAATGTGAAAAATCAAAAACAAAAAAAAACAAAAAAAAATTAAAGAAAACCTTTTAAAGGTCAGCATCCATTCCAAGAAGAAAAATAAGAAAATGAAGATGAGGTTGAAGTACGATGAGTGTACAATAAAACAAAAAAATAATAATTTTTTTTTCTTTTAACTTTTTTTAATAACTTCTTGGAGAAAATAAAATAATAAAAAAAACAACACCTTTACTTTGATTTTTCTTACATTTTTTTTTTTTTTTGTTAGTGATTTTTTTTTTCTTATATAACGTTCTTAGGAATATTACATACCGTCTTAAGAATTGAATTTTCTTATTTAAATTTATATTGTTGGTACATTCATACAAATTTATGTACGTGTATTCGCAAGAGTATGTAAGTATGTATGTACAATATATGCAAATATGTAAATGATACACACTTTTCTTAAATATTTTTATAGGTGTATTTTTTCTATATTTACGATAAATAATTCTTCCTTTTTATATAATTATTTTTTTTTGTAACTCTATTAAGCACTTATTTTAATGCAATTACACACACTTCAATATTATAATTTTTCTCGAATTCACTAAGAATTTTTTTAATAATATTAAAATATACAATTATTTTGCAATTTAAATATTGTACATGAAAAAAAAAAGAATACAAGTGAGTAAATATTTAAAATTTTATTTTTTGTTTTTTTTTTCTTCTGTTGTTTTTTAACTAATAAACGTGCGCAACACGCTTCGCTTACAAAAATAAGGAACTTCACTTTTCGAACTGATCAAACAAACTAATTTCAACCGAACAGACTTATATAGTGTTTAATAATACGATGGATGGATAAAAAACATAAAAATAAAAACAAAATAATATTATGATAAAATACAAAACAGAAAGCAAACAACAACAGCAGAACTTGACTTGAATGAAACACTAATACAGATGCAAAGACTTGTGTCAGGACAGGAGTAAAAACAACAGTTTTTTTTTTATTTTTTGTTTTCATTTTTCTTCATTTTTTCTTGTTCTATTTTGTTTCTGTTTTCTTTATTTTTTTTCTAAAATATTCATTCATACATTTGGTTTAACTATAAAATATTATGTTATGTATATCGTAAATGAAAATGTATGTATGTATTCGTATCACGGTACATACATTTAATAATAATGATGTATATTGAATGTATACGAATGCATATATATGGAAATATATTTCTAAACTTGTATCTATAGTATTAACATGTATGTATGTATATATTATATATTTATTCTTGCATAAACCTACATACAAATATTTATTTTATTAATGAATAGGTACATGCATTTTAAATACACACAATAATCAAATATACGAGTATGTACTCTGTTTATTTTAATAAATATACACATGCATATACTGTGTATGCTATAATTAATATGAAGATGAAAATATACATATATACGTATATATTATATATAAATACAAAAATCGTATGTACATAATATACATATGTATATATATATAACTACCCATTATTATATAATAAAATTGATTCTAAAAATCTAAATATATTTTAATGAATTAATGTTCATACATATGAATGTATGAATGATTGTGTGCGTGTATTTTAATATAAAAAACAACTTTTATATAAATAATAGTGTTAGTTTATCATCGCTATATAGTTATATTTGAGTATTTATTATTAAAACACATTCACATTTACAATGAGTAATTTTTAAATGATCTTTATTATTATTATATTTTAGAAAATGAGAGCATAATATCAAAACATACACACATGTATACATTTGTTTGTGTGCATTTGTATTAACAAAACAAGATAATTCAAGAATGGAACATGAAAATTAAACGTCATTGATTTTTTTTTTTGCTTCTTTTTTATATTTTTGTTTGAAGATCATGTTGTGAATCGTTCGGTAGAAATTTTCAAATGAGAAAATAGATTTTTTTTTTTTAAATTTCACATTTACATGACAAAAACACAAGGCATAACAAGAATTGTATGTGTTTGATGGCGGTGACATTGTGAGAATATTTAGAGAAATTTTACTCAAAATATTATCTACCAAATATTTTTGAATTTTGAAATAAAAATGTGAAAAAAAATAAAAATGCTATTCTTAATTTGTCATGACAAAACTTTCTGGTGTGGACACTCAGAGAGAAAAAAAGTGTGAAATAGGTCTATTATAAATTTCCTTTTACGCCACTTTTTGGATTCATTATTCTTGTAACATTAGCAAATAGATCTTATTTTTTCTAGAACAAAATTTTCACCTTCATGCATATCTTCCCTTTTTTTTCCAGATGTAGTTCAAAAAATCTTAAATATTGCATTCTTTAAATCTTTGCACTATAATTGTTTTTCTGATTTGTTCTCGGCCAACTCTGATTTAATTTTTCTGGTTTTGATGTCGTATGTTAATACTAACAATAATTGAATTGCGCATGCATGAATAACTAATTTTTCACGCCAGAGGGGACTTCAGAGTTTTAGAGAAAAATATTTTTGTCACGCCAGATATGACGTCAGAGTTTTAGAGAAAAATATTTTTGTCACACCAGAGGTGGCATGAAAGACGTTGTAGTTGCAGTTTTACCGTTACTATATGATATTCGATGCATAAAACCGTATACGATTTCATGTGGTAAATTATTATTACATCTATGTTTGTATGTTTGGAGAGCTTAGCGAGTACGTATTGGATCAAATTAAGCATGTTCCCGGGTTAGCAACGAAGACAAATTTTTCGATTTTGTCTAGCGTAAAACAGCGTACACACTTTACTGACCAATAACTTCTTATACACATAATAGAGCACTAGAGAAAATTGAGCGTAAAAAGGGCTTGATATTTCTGCCTTGTAGATATTTTGAGTTCGTTTATAGAAAAATGAAAAATTTTTCATATATAGGCTTGTATTTTGTATTGTTCTCTTTTTTCTGTTAATGTCATCCCTTTATATACAATGATATGATTCGATGGATATATGAAAAATAAAAAAATCTGTAAACAGTTTTAGTATACATATGTACATATGCATGTATGCATATAAAATTTTACTTTACTAGATTATGCAAATATAAACTGCTGTCAAAACATTGATAGAAGAAATTTTGAAATTTCAGTTTTTACAGTTATATAACAAGACGTATCTTGATGATAAAATAGTCGGAAAGATAATTTATTATTAATTGCTGTTTTTCGATAAAAGTTATAATTCAGAAATTTTATTAAAAGAACTGTATATTGGGTTCTATTGTTTATCACTATCACTGTCATTTCTTGCGACATCGTCAAGTACGCATGAAACATTTCCCTTCCAATAGCTTCGTTTACCAAAGGTGGCAAAGGTGAGGCGGAGATTTTTTTGGAGTGCATTCCTTTTCTAAACAACGAACCTTGCGAATCCAAATGCCAAAGGACCACGTTTTCTTTTATATGCGACGCTTTATTAAAACTTAGACTGGCTCATGTTAGAATAGGGATATGGGAATCAAGTGATATCCCAACGAACATACTCGTATATAGCCTAGGTCTACCTTAAAGTGGGCTTTTGAATCTAACCTTAAAGTAACGTATGAAGAGTCCTTAAATAGTAAAAATTTCACTTTTTTTTGTGATTTGATCAAATAAAATTATTCATAATTATTTGATCAAATTCAAATTATATTTCATTATTCAATATTTTAACATTTTTTTTTTTCAATTTTATTTTTAGGCAAAATGTATGCAGTTATTGGAAGACGTCATGGTAGAATATTAGCTGGTGATTTAATACACGGTAGCGGTAATTTTTCTGTAACAGCTGTACTTCCTGTTATTGAATCTTTTAATTTTGCACAAGAGATACGTAAACAAACATCAGGATTAGCATGTCCACAGTTGGTATTCAGTCATTGGGAGGTAAATTAATAATGTAATAATATAAAAAAAATTAAATACGTTGAAAATTAGTAGAGCGTTCACAAGTGTCCAAGGAATAACTTTCAAGTTTTTTGAGAGAAACTAGTTCATTCTAAATTTACCTGTATTATTTTGTAGATCTGTTTATGGTTTAGGTTTCTATCACGGACTTTAAGCAGGTTTTTTAATTTACATTACAAAATTGGAAGATCAAATGGCTATAAGAGTACAAAAGGCAGTTCGTTTTAGTATGAGTTTGATAACTGATGAGTTCGAAAGACGGTGACCGGTGGAAGGAGCGACTTAATAGACTGGTCTGCTCTCCGGCCATTAAAGAAATTTATTCGTGTAAAGGATATCTGTTTTATCACTAGGTTCTCCGGTCGTTATGTGATGTAAGAAATAATATAAGGCCTCGATCGCTACTTTCGAATACTAGAGGTGATTTGGGCCTGCGGTTTAGGATGTGAATAGGATTCTCTACGAGGGTCCGTTCTCGATGTGGAAGAAGAGACGCATATTTTGGTTGAATTTTCTTTTGTAAGCTGGATGAATTATCGGATATCGCTATTGGCACGGGTTGCTGATAAGATTTTTCGGAGGGGTTGCCGATTTCTAGGATTGGATTCCAATAAGCCTCCTTTTTGACCTAGGGTTGGTGTTATGCGAATAACTAACGTATTGCGACGTTAGTTATAATAAAGTTTTTTTTTTTATCGACACATCAATATTAGAAAATCTCTAAAGAACTCTATATAGAGAAGAGTTTTTTTTTGCCTTGTTTTATTAAAATAACTCCTTAAATTAATTATTGAAGAGTGAAAACCTGGTATCCATCCAATTTAAATTTATTTACATCTTCTGAAAATATGATTGATTCTTTAATAAATATTAAAAAAAAAATTTAGTATTTTAAGTAGATTTGTGAATAACATGTGCATAATAATGATCATATACATATGTAAATTATTTTCACGTTTTAAAATTCATCATCATAATTTTTTTTTCAATTCCATTCATATTGATTTTTAATTTTATTCTCATTTCAAGATCATCTCACACATGATCTGCGTTAATCTTTCAATTTTATTTTATTATATTTTAACGATTATTATTTTTTTCTCTTACCATACATACATATGTATGCTTGCCTAAGCCCATATGTGTATGTAGTGTACAACATGTACGCAATATGAACTTTTATACTCTTGTATCGGATGGACATGATTTAGATTTTCATTTAACGAAAGTCACGCTATATTGCAGCACAATATTCTGATTTATTTTATTATCCTTAGAATTGAGAAAAAAAAATATAAAAAAATAAATAAATTTTTTTTTGTTTTCTTTAAATCCTTAAATCTGAAATCCACTTCATAAGACAAAAAAACACAAGAAAAACAAGCCAAAAAAAAAAAACTTATACAAAAAAAGAATTGAACAGAACTGAAAAGAAATGATTTACAATATTTTTTCTTTATTTAAAAAAAAAATAATAAAAATAAAAAATAAAATTTTTTAAAAGGAGCGAGAAGAATACGATCAAAAGAAGAAATTGAAGAATATACCTGTATATTTTTACCTGTAAACTTATCTTCATTTCTTTTTGTGTATTTATTATTGTTTTTCTATTTTTTTGTTCTTATTTTTTTGTAAGGCTTTTGTATTCCATCATCAACAACAATTTCTGTTCAATTATAACCTTAAAAAAAATGTTTTTGTTTTTTTTTATTTTCAACAAAATAAATGTATCCGCAATATTTATAAAGTGTCACCCTGTGATTTGAAATCTATACATAAAGATTTTATTCGGACTGCTGACTGGTTTATTTTTTCATTTTATATTCTTAATATTTTTTATTTTTGCCATTGACTGTTACCATTATTTTAGTATTTAATAGGGATTTTTTATATTTATTAATTTTAGGCAAATATTTTTGTCCGACTCTACAAACTGTTATATTGCATATTGACGTATTTTAATCAAATAAAAAAATTCGAGTTTCTTTCCAAGGTTTAAAAAAAAAACCTTTTGTAAGAAATTGTTTTCTAAATGACGAGATTTTTTTTTTTGCTGACAAAATAATCTACCAATCTATTTTATGTTTACCAAGATAAACGATCATGCATAGACATATGCCTGACAAATGGCAACTGAAATGCATAGACGTACAAATGTGTATGTGAATATTTTATATGGACATCGAAATGTTGCTAAGTTCCGTAGTTGTTCCTCTTTCTTTTTCATAATAGTTTTTAACTTTAACTCGTAAGCGATGGTGACGAGACCCGTGCTAATGTACGGTGCTTCACTGTGGTGACTTGTGCTTCAGTATGGTGCCTATCGCAGAAAATGTATATCAATTTGAAGCTAGTAAGCAAAATTCAAAGACGAATCAATTCGCGCTGAAAGACCCTTGCGATATATCACCATTCCATTCCGATTGATACTCTACATTCGTTTGACGACTGCATCAAAGTGATTTACGAAGGAGGAGATAAATTGATTCGCATTTCTTTTTGCAAGCTACGGGTCTGGCGAATTCAAATGCAGAGGGTCTCAATGAATTTATCAAAAGCTCTAAATTTGCTAAATGAAACAGGAAATGAGTAATATAAATTGCAATTAATTGTATTAGTCGGAAAGATCGATTAAAATTTTATTATTGATATTTTAGTTGGTTATTTAATTTGTTGTGATTTTTTGTTGTTGCTATGATTTTTTGTTTCTTCATAAGATATTTGCTGTCGAGATGAAATGATGAGGCTCTTCAAAAATAATAATAATAATAATAATAATAATGAAAAAATAAAAATGAAAACAGAAGAAGATAATAATCTCTACGTATTTCAGTAGCCAATTCGTAAATTACTCTTGAGTCTCGACATGTTTTTAATCTGTTTATGCCCCACGTTTCTTCTTTTTTTTAATGTAGTTTTTTTTGTGTTACCTTTACTCATATTTTTTTTTTTTGTTAAATGAAATGTGTTTGCATACACGGGTAAGAGTAGAAGCCAAAAAGTATATATTAGTCAGGGGCGTTTGATTAATTTTAGATAAAACAAAAAATGCACATCAGCATTATCAAATTATTTTGAGTTTTTTTTATTTTTTATATACTGAGTTACAGATGGATAAAGAAATTATTAGCAAATTGTTTTCCATATTTTCATGAAGTAGTGTTTCCTTTCTTTTATGTACTCGTAGTTAGAGGAATGCTTTTTCATGGGAGAACCTGTAACGTGGTATAATCTCGATTGCAGAAAGATGGGACAATTTTATGAAAAACATTAACCGTGGGAGGAGAGCCGCAAAAAAAATTTAACCTCCCAAATTTAAATTGCAAATTTTTGGTTTCGACAGAAATATGTACCAACTTAAGTGGCTATAACTTCCATAATTGACCGATTCAAAAAAAATATAATATGAAATGAAAAGCTAAAATTTTCTCTAAGATAATTTTATTTAAGACAAAACTGTTGGTCATTTAAGGCACTACTGAAGAAGCCGTAAAGGAAATAAGTCAAAAACAAATGTCAAATTTTTCACGAAGTGGTCAATTATTAAAAAATTTACCCTATTAAATTTTTTTTTTTTAAATTTTTTAAAAAAAATACGCTTTTCAACGAATGTAAGCGTTAGGAATTTGAACCGATTTTTGAGGAGCTTGGGCTGGTTCGGATTAGGAGTGGAAAGGGAGAGATCCGGCGGTACTACAACGGGCCTAGTTGGTCTATGTGTATCATTCGGGGGGCCGCAATAATCAATAAATCAAAACAATATTTTTTTTTAATTAAAAGATTTAAAAGATTTCGAGTCGGTCTTCAAATTACCTCTTATTAATTTTTTTTTGTGCGATGTCCCTTTCCCAGATAATTCGGTTGTAAACTAGATGATTTCCAGGAAAAATCACTATTTTGCTCTAGGTAAAAATTACATTTTTATTAATTATAATTATTTTATTAATTATGATATTATACATATGACATAAAGGGTTACTGTGTCCCTGGTAATGGTATTATATGTGTGTAAGTAGAGAACAATTTATATTAACATATACATATATTTGTACATATGCAGATAAAGATAGTATAAACTTTAATGAAAACTCTTACTTCAAAGTTTTTTGTCTGCGATGGGGCTGCTGGAGAGTATAATTGTAGCTCATCATATTCTTACGTATAGCAATAATAAAAATAAAAATAAAAATAATAATGATAATATAAGAACCAAGTGTATCTTAAGCTAAATATAAATAATCTCGAGTTTAGTTATAGGCCCGGTTTTCTTTTACTTTTTTTTTTTTTTGTCAGTTATTATAATATAATTTTTTTATTTTTTGGTATATTTTATGACTATTGTGTGTTACTTTCAGTAAAAAAATTGTACGTGAATAAAAAAATAAAAATTTTGGAGTTTCCTTTTTTTTTTTGGGTTTTTTCTTGGTTTTTTTTTTGTGATATTTGGTTTCAAATTAAAAACAAAAAAAATGACGCGATGTGTACGTGTGCCTGGCTGCAGTAGCAATTTTCAGAATCAACTAAACTACAAATAAATGAGGGTTTCTTTTATTTTCAAAATACTTTTTTTTTTTAATGTTTTGTGTTTTTCATCTTTTGTGGTTAATGTTGTTGTATATAGCTTTTTCCTTTTTATGATTTTATGATCTATGTACATTTGTATGTAGGTAGGTGTATAAGTTAAAGAACAGCGAAATGAATGCTCTAGGTCATTTCGAGAGTCTTCTTCTTTTCTTACATGTAATTATGGTGTACGGAGTAGTTTTTTTTTTATTCATAATATGAATAAGACGGTTGTTTTTTTTTATATTTATTATTTTTTTGTTGAACAAGTTATGATTCTATTAAATTTATATTTTGGTTAACAGTATTATTACAAAAATAGTATATTTATAATATTATGGTTGTCCGAGGAAATTTTAAGATACGGACTGCATACTATGCAATTTAAAAAAAAAATAAATTCATTAATTTTATTG